ACAAAAAAAATGCCTACTTCATTAAAAGAACTGAAAAATAAATTTACATGAAGATACTTTTTCTCTCCTATAACACTGGTGAAGGATTATAGGATTTGATAACAGTGGAGCCAACTGTGTTGACAAAGACGTGAAGGAAAATGTAAATTTATACATTGTTGCTGGGGAAGTATATTGGTGAAAATCAGCATGGAGGAAATCTGACAAAATCAATTTTACAAATGCACTTAACATTTGACCCAGGTCATTTCACCTGTGGCATATCTATATAATAGCATGCTACTTTACAGTAAGTATTAACAAAATATTGATATGTGATACAATATGAATGAACCTCAAAATCATTACCCTAAGTAATAAAACAAAACAAAACAAGTCAGATTCAAGAGATCATATGTTTAGAAAGTCAAGTTTATAGAATCCCAAAAGTGTAACAGTGGTTGCTGAGGATGGGATGGAGTGGAGACTAATGACTGCCTATATGACTGTAAACACAATTGGAGTAATGTTGTTTTGGAATGCAGATGTTCTAAAATTGAGTAGGTAATGGTTGCACAACTCAAGCATATTACCAATCATTGAAATGTACACTTACAATTGATGAATTTTTTAATATTTACTTTAGAGATGAGGTCTTACCAAGTTGCCGAAGCTGGTCTTAAACCTCCATACTCAGGCAATCCTCTCTCCTTTGCCTCCCAAAGTGCTAGGATTACAGGTATGAGCCACCACATCTGGCAACACTGTCATTCTTTTTCCCAAACAGATTGTTGCAACTTTACAACTCTGTGTCATAACATTATACATAAGACAGGTTCCCACAATAACAAAAGCCCTCATGCCTCTCTAAATGGGCTGCCTTCACAAGTTGCTCACAAGGAAATTCCTTGCTGGTCCCTAAACCATTCAGCATATATATATCTCCTATAAAACAAGCTTATGCCAATTGTAACCTTAGGTGGGCAACCAGAGTTTAACTCAAACTAAATTTTGTTAAATCTCACACTGACAATGTTGATTACAAGCTTATCTTCCCAGGTATAGAACAAGTTGGGATTAATTCCTCCTCCACCTACCCAAAGACAGCTACATAATTGGCTCTTCTACTCCCTCTTCTTCAAAGATTCACTTTGTCTTATGGAAAACATATTCACTAAGCACTAAGCAAAGCCTCACAAGAATGTAACCATTTCCCTCCCAGCCTATCCCCTCCCTTTTTTCTCCTGCATGCTCACTCCCCTTAAACAATGAATCACAAAATACTCTCTGTAAAGCAGAGGTCACAAATGCTTCTGTGGCTTGTGTTTTTTCCAGGTGCGTTCTCAATATACCTCCACTGACTGAGATCCTTGCATCAGTCACTTATTTTGAGTAAACTAATGTTTTAAAAATGACTTCTAAAGGACATGACTGATAATGTTTTTTAAAGTATAAGCTCTCTAAGAATAAGTGTAACCATTAGGTCTAGGACATAAGAAAAAGAGTGAACCACAAATCTTGTGGTCGGGGCAGAACAACTTGGGTAATCAAAGAATCGAATGCTATATGGAGAAAATACAGAAGTAGAATTCAATGTTTTACACATCTCAAATCTATTCTCATTAAGGCAAACATGTAACGTGACCATTTACTATGCCACTGGTTCAACCTTGTGATGTAATATTGCCACTACAAAATGGTATAAACACTTGATAATATAGAAATGTTTGTGATAAAAAATTAAGTAATGAAATCAAATATCCAAATTATTGCAAATATAATAACTAAAAAAAATTGCATGAAAATAAGGAAAAAATGCTCCTCAGTTGGGGTAACAGAGACACTGCTGCGGGAAAACAAATCAGAGAGACCATGACACCAAGGCTGGTAAGTAGGAAGCTACTTATATCTGGAATGCTGGCATTCGGCCCAGCAGACTCCAGTTGCCAAGGCTGGGCCCTGATCGCAGTTGGGCCTCAACTTATATGTTTTACATTGGCTTTGGGGGAAGGGGTTTTCATGGTGGAAAGTTTAGTACATTTTGCACTAATAGCAAAAGCTTGCGATTTTGGCTGCAGGTACTGAGCACGACACCATACAATGCATCTGGGGCAGTCACACAGGAAAGGGCTTGTGGATTCAGCTACAGGCACTGAGTGTGGCATTTTGCATTAGCAAACTGGAACACTTCAACTGTGATATATGTTTTGAAGCATTTTCTAAAAGGCCCTGCCACAATATCTTTTTCTTGTCGAAATAAATCTGAAAGAAAATATTCATGAGAAAGACATGATAAAGTTGGAAGGTAGGGAAAACAAAAATCATGTCCTTAATGTTAATAGTACACTTATCACTAAATCATCCTGAAACTTATAGACGATAAGAATGACACTGCAGAAAGGCAACTGTTACTCATTGGTATCTTGAGGGTGGACTTGGACTTGACAAACTGAACTGGACTTGGATCCGCTGGGTAAATATACATTTTTTAAATGAGAAAATGCCCAAAATATATTGTTATTTGAATTTTTATTTTATTTTGAAGTTTATTTTTATTTTAAAGATATAGAGTACAATTCAGAGTTGGGTACATAAGTGGTCATCGTACAAGTAAAGTTTGGGCCTCCCCGCGATCCTCACTTCACTTGGTATGAGATTGGGTACCTATATTGATGTTATGTGCCCCCCCACCCTGCCCTGCCCCCGGCAGTGTCCCACTACTACCAATCCCTTTCTTATAGTATTGATAAATGTTCAGGGTCCGCTTATGAGTGAGGACATGTAGTACTCAGATCTTTGTGGATGGATAGCGGTGTTAGCGAAAGAGGGTTTCTATTTCAGATTTCATTTGAAGTCCATGCTTGGGGAGGCCCATGTGCACCTGCGGCTGAGGCCTAAGAAGGCTGGAGCTCCGGAGAGGTTGGAGGGCCCTGGAGAGCCTTGAGGCTCAATCTGGCTGCTGCTAACAGTCGTGATTAAGTGTATGTTAACTAATGATAAAAGGCATAATCCATCAGTAAACATACATTTAATCACGACTGTTAGCAGTAGCCCAAGATTGAGCCTCAAAGGCATCCGCTCTCCAGGGCCCTGGGGCCTCCAGAGCTCCAGCCTTCTCAGGTCTCTAAACCCAGATGCACATAGGTCTCCCTAAGCATGGACTCTAAGAGAAATCTGAAACCTGAAACAGAAACTCTCTTTCGCTAACACCCCATGCAACCCCACGCTGCTCTATCACTGAGCCCCACATTAAATTGCAAATCTAGACCTGACACTACGTCCGTTGACACACATCTTCTTATCCCTTTTGTCAACACTGATTCGCACGGAATGACCCCTGACAACCATAAACCCTGACAGTCGGGCTCTTCGCCGTTCACCTCCTATGGCTCTTAATTACTGATCGCCAAAGGCCCTGTCATCAGAGCCAGGATTCTCCGGAGACTAAACCCGGGGAGAACCACGAAACGCGGCCCCTCCCGGTCCCAGAACATGCATGCCCGTTCGCAACCCACACAAGCCTTGCCCTAGGAGCCACGGCCGAAACCGACCCACCTGACCCTGAGTCTCTCCAGACTCCCTAGCAAGGAGCAGCCGTTGAGCCGCGTTCCAAACCACTTCGGACTCCCTCTGCGACCCCTCCTTCGCCATCGCTAGAGACGCTGAGCGACGCCGGCGTCGGGCGGGGGAAAGGGGCGTTCCCGGAAGTCCAAGCCGGCCCCGTATTGTGACGTCACGTGACCACGCCCACGCCGGCGGCCCCGACCTTGAGCCCAGAAGGGCTGCTGCTAGGAGCTGCGGGCGATGCTGGGTTAATTTCAGGCCGCCTCAATCTCTGCGCCAACTGCGGGAATTGCCGGAATATGTATAAAACCTTTGGCAGGCTGAGCAAAACAGTACGCTGGCCGCGCGGCCTACCCCAGACGGGGCCGTGATTAAGAAGCACCCTGGACGCAGTCCTTTCAGGTAAGTCGGATTTCTTTTCATCAGAAGGTACCATCTCCTGGGAGTTCAGGACTGAATCGTCGAGTCGCCTTGAGGACCTCTGGTTTGGAGGCGCCTCTATAGGACCAGCAAGGTTTGTAGAAGACGAGATGGCTGAAGGGTGACGTGAGGAGGCAGCGGTCCCAGAGTGGACCAAAGTTGAGTCCCCTTCATGGGACGGAGAGAATGGGCGACGCTTGTCTAGGTGTGAATTGCCTGGAGGCCAAATACTGGGGCAGTCTCTGTGAAGACCGATGCCCACGTACAGCTGCATAGAGTATGGGGGGTTACCTGTCATAAGGAGAAAGGGGTGAGGCTTCAAATTTGATCATTTCCCTAAAACACGGGAAGATGGAAATGGAGCTTATGAGTATTAAATAACTAATAGTTATCATATGGCAAACAGCACATTTAATACATATTAGCTATAATTTTTATGAAGGTGAGGGATGAAGCAGTAGATAAAAGTGAATGTCCTTTTAAAGAGACAACCTGTCCCGTGCTTTTGGAGGCTGAGGTGAGTGGACTGCCTGAACCCCCTGAACCCGTGGGTTCGCGACCCGCCTGGGCAACTTGGCGAGACCTCATCTCTACAATAAATAAAAAAGTTAGGCGGGCGTGGTAGCGTGCGCCTGTAGTTCCAGTTACTTGGAAGGCTGAGGCGGAAGGATAGCTGGAGCCCAGCGGGTCGAGGCTGCGGTGGCCGGGAGCGGCCACTGCACTCGCCTGGGCAACAGAGTGAG